ATGCTTGGCGCAATCAGAAGATCAAATTTCATGTTGGAATTTTGTCTTAGGCTGCTMTGTTCAAGGTTATCCCAAATCACTATGGACTTGCTTTAAGACTGAGAGCAGAATTTGGAAGCATCACCTCTGCCTCCCAAGGTCCTCAGCTGCAGACCTATCAGCATGTGGTAGCTGTCAGTCATGTTTATCTGAACTCCTCTTTAGCTTTTCATTTTAACCCTATATTTCCTTGGAATATGTTTTGTTGTGGTCAAGTTAAATAAAACATTCAAGCTGAGGGTTTTGAAGCAGCCCGTCCATGTATTTTTGTCTCTTGGTGGTTGGGTTTCTCATCCTTCGCATTTTGTGGGACCATCCTTAGTGCTGCCTTTTTCAAGGCAGCCCCAAAATCAAGCATCCTGAGAAACCATCAGTTTCCTTCATGTTTTGCCCATTTCAGCTAATATTTCTTTTGTSTTTTTACAGTGCAGTAATCTGTTAGCTCCTGTTGCTATGATATATATGAGCTCTAAGCTGGGCATGACATGAATATATCCTGTATGACCTTCTGCAGATTATATTTAACACTTCTCCTTTTCTTGGCAATTCCCACATTCTTCCCTAGAATCATTCCTGTAAGTAAAAGGGCACGTGCACAAAGCATTTAAYTTGCACTTGCATTAACTGCACTTCTGAATTCTACTTCCAAACCAGACCCATCTTCCTGTGGGTTTCCTCCCTTTTCGCTGCAGTCGTGGCGTGCTGCCCATGACCAGTCGAGGCTGGGCAAAGCTCATGACATCTGTGGCACTCGAGCCACGTGGCCTCACAACCTGCAATGAATCAGACCTGGCTGAAAACTAAATTTCTCKCTTTGTTTGTGGGAGCTGCATAATTTTTCCCCTGCCTCCCTTTGCATTGATGGGTAGGGGAGGGAGGGTGAGAGGGCGCCTTGTGGCAGCTCAAGGGCCGAGATTAATTTTCCCCTCGTTACCACCTGCCCCTGCCTGGTGGTGGATCAGCTGTGGCGACGAATGACTTGCACTGAGGGTCTGTTGCAGCAAACRTTTTAGAGGAAACAGGATTGTTTTACTGGAGTTTCCTGACTGGCTTCTGTAGGTGCCCACGTTTCTGCTATTACAGCCTTGCAGAAAATCACTTGGCAGTTGCTGGATGTTGAGACAGCGATATTTTTTTTACAGTAATCCATTTAAAGACCGTATGCAGAGACAGTAATAAGGCTAYGGCAAGTCTTACCACCACAGTATTTTCCACAATATTTTCTTTTAATTGATTGTTTTGATCTTTCTCTCCTTAAAACAGATAATAAAACACAAGAAATGGCACTACTTCTTCCAAACCCATCAGGTCACTCAGCTGTGAACTTCTGGAACAGAAATGTGGCGCTGGCTGCATGTCATTTTAAGTACTCAATTTGTAAATTAAGTGTTGTGGATGTGGGTTTACAGTGTCAATGCACACCTCTCTTGTGCTTTGGTAATAATGTAGTGGTTTACCTCTGTGGAGGAGTGTAACTAATTCAGGGCATTGCATATAATTTCTGAGTGTTACTGCCTACCAGGGAATTTCACTTGTCCCATAGCACTCCAGGTGCTACCTTGTGGTTAAATACAGGCATGTATTTAACATGCTGTAACTCCCCTAACATTGACTTGTTCCTTTAGGTGCTTTCTTCAGTGTGATCTGGTTTTCCAAACATAAGTGAGCCTCCAAGAGGTGTCACTTACCTGTCTCTGGACACATGGGCTGCATCTACTACATATCATAGCAGAGCACCTGAGTTTTGGTTCTGTGTGGTCTTGCAGCTCCGTGCTAGTGGGCATTGTGTGGTCCAGCACTACTTTGGTGACTGCTGCCTTCAGGTTTTTTATGATCTTTCTCTAGCTTTTCATCTTTTTATTGGATTACTGTATCTAGCCATCACATGAAGCCGAGATAACCTCCTTATAGCTAATCCTGTTTACTGGATAACTAACTGTACACTGTGTTTTCTTGCCAAGTGGTTAGCGTCAAGCTAATAAATACAAAGAGTTACAGATACACCCTATACTTTCAGTCTTATCCTCAGATGTCCCCTGGCTTCAGACTTTGGCAGAGTGTTGCTTACAAGCAAAAGCATTTTTGCAGTGCAAGAGCAGATCGGTATTTGATGTTCTCAGCACTTAGGATAGATGGTGCTGCTGTGGGATRCTGGATGAAATCAAGGTTCATACGGCAGAACCACTTCTATTGTATGTTTTTCTGTTTCTACTCCTTGCTYTTACCTTTATTTTGATACGGAGCTGTGAGATGCCGGTGTCAAAGGCGAAGCCTGTGCGCTGGAGGCTGCCCCTTACCCTTGAGCTGTGCTGCTGGTTGCMGGTCCTGGCCAAGATGGCACGAGATGGGGCTGCTCTGCCCTTTGGACCCGTGGCCCCAGCAGCTCCGCACTCAGCAGATGCCCAGACTGCACCCTGCAGATTTGGCTGGATCCAAGCGCTGGAGGGTCTGTGAGGCCCTTTGGACCACGGATGGTCAGTAAACAGGGGCTGCATGTTTATTCTCTCTTACACAAGTYGACATTGATTGAGCAAGTTGCACAAGCAGAGTAAGAAAAGAGCAGCCCCTTGCTTGTAAGGAGAAAAGGAGAGGGGTTTTGTAGCCCCTCTTGCAGGTGACTAAGGAATCACAGAATCCTTAAGGTTGGAAGGGACCTCCAGAGATCATCCAGTCCAAACCCCTGCACACACAGGGTCACCTAGAGCATGGGGCGGCATCCAAGCGGGCTTGGAAGATCTCCGGAGAGGGAGACTCCACAACCTCCCTGGGCAGCCTGTTCCAGGGCTCTGTCACCCTCACTGCCAAGAAATTTTTCCTCAAGTTCCTGTGGAACTTTTGGTGCTTCAGTTTGTGGCTGTTTCCTCTAGTCCTATCGCTGTCCACCACTGAAAAGAGGCCGCCCCCCTCCTCCTCACTGCCTCCCTTGAGGTATTTATAGACACTGATCAGGTCCCCCCTCAGCCTCCTCTTCTCCAGGCTGAACAGACCCAGCTCCCTCAGCCTTTGCTCAAAGGGCAGATGTTCCAGGCCCCTGATCATCCTGGTAGCCCTGCGCTGGACTCTCTCCAGCAGCTCCACATCCCTCTTGTACTGGGGAGCCCAGAACTGCACACGGTGCTCCAGATGTGACTGAGTCACCTCCCTCRTCCTGCTGGAGACGCTCCTCTAGGAGCAATAGAGAGGAGACTGAAATGATGACTGTCGTCCCTTTGGGTCCTTGATACCTTTTGGCCTGTTACTTGTCTCAACTCTCCCTCTTCTGCTTCCCAAACTTCTCGTGGCCGGTTTGCCATCGTGAGCTCCAGCTAGCAGGATTTCCTCCCTTGCAATACCAGAAAGCTTTTGAAAAAGGGGAGAATTTCGCATCGAAGCAGAAGGTTTGCCAAGCGCTTAAACAGTGCCTGAAAAGAAGGGAGTTGGGGCGGAGCTGTATCCGAAAGGCTGTGCCTCAGCTTTGCCTTCAGGAAAATAAGCTGTAGCTCTTGTGCCCCATATATGACCCCTTCCTGTTTTCTTCCAGCCTGATTCACTACAGATCTGTCATCTCTTCTCTTTCCTATTTTTAAAACTAAGTTAAGTCGCAACAGGCAGTTTTCTGTGTGCAGTGTCCTCGCACATTTTCAAGTCCAGCGCTATTAGAAACAAGGCAATTGAACAAACCCACTTGCYGTGTCTTTTCTTTCCTCACCTGGTTTTATTTCTGCAAGTGCTTCTGCAGCACGTAGTGTCTTACTGTAACTTCACAATATTACAAGCTGAAAACCACGGTGAAGATTCCAGTATCACAGCTACTTGTTATAAAAAAACACAGGCTGGAGCTGGGTGAAGGATCTCACCTCACATCTTAGGCTGCAGGGAAACACATAGGCTTGCAAAAAGCATTTTACCAAGCACCGAGAGGCACTAGAGCTTCTGCTGCAAGTGCGGGGGGATTGTGTGTCCTGGGAGTGAAGTATTTCCAAATGGATGTTGTTTCCATCTTCCTGGGGTCAGGAAGTGGTGTATTTTTCCTTCCTGCCTGTTCTCAGTATTTCCGTGGGTGTTTGTTGTTGGTTGTTTCCAGTCTGTTCTTCCTACTTGGCTGTCATCCTTGGTTTTCTTCTTTAGATTAAAGCTATTGCATGTTAAAGCACATATTGCTGTCCTAATCCAAGGACATTCAAATGCTAGTTTGCAGTAGCTTTTATCTTCTGAAAGTATGAGTAAAACTGCAAGGACCTAGGATTTGTTTTAGATCACTTACCTAAAGATGCTTAGCTTAGGTTTAATGAGGTAATGGGCAAAATTAATTTTTCCATAAACTATACTTTTTTTCATATTTGTTTCTTTCATTTGTTTCTGTTAGAACTGTTAAAAGTATGTGTAAGATAATTATTACTTTTTTTTTTTTTTAATGTATGAAGGTATCTATTAATGAAGATTTGGAGCAGGGGAGAAAAGGAAAGGAAAAAGCAATGGCAAGAAATTATCCCCATAGTCACCTAATTCTTTACCTCCTTCCCTTTCAAATTCCTTGAAGGAGGTTTAACTGTTCAAGGCCAACTCCACCACTTCCCCCAGTTTCATTCAAGTGGCTACACACGTGACAGAGCCCTGGAACAGGCTGCCCAGGGAGGCTGTGGAGTCTCCTTCTCTGGAGACCTTCCAAACCCGCCTGGATGCTGCCCTGTGCCACACGCTCTGGGTGTCCCTGCTGGAGCAGGAAGGTTGGACTAGATGAGCTCTAGAGGTCCCTTCCAAGCTCAGCCATTCTGTGGTGCYGTGATATGTTTTTATTTCCCTCCARTGTGTTTCTTGCTGCTGCTGGGGAGCGAGCAGCTCCGTGCCACACATCGCAGTGCCGCGGGTTGCCCGCCCGCTCCGACCACAGTTCTGCACTGCTTTGCCAGACACAGCTGCCAAGTAGAGCTTAAAGAGACCTTACTGCACCTTAATGAACTGCAAGATCTGCTGTGCTCACCTGGACCCCTATAAAATAAATGTACTTTCAGATCAGTACAATTATTCTCGACTGCTTTTATYGCTGACATCGAGCTCGCCTCAGAGTTAAGAAAGGAATTTTAAAAAGGGAGCAAAAGAGAATCTGGTGCTGTGACACTGCAGGAGAAAGAGAGTTTGTGAAAGGGGCATTTAAGGATCTGCAAGTAGGAAGGAGAAGCCGGGCAGCTTTGGGGAAGGGGCGGTGAAGCCGACAGCTTTGCTCCTCGCTGCTGTCTTTGGGCATCAAGGTTGCCATTTCTGCAGATTAACAAGACCAGCAGCAGCTCAATTGCTGTGTTCTGGCAGATGGAAAAGAAGGGCAACCTCTGCTGTTGTAAGGACTTGGGAGCAGCACTTTAACTAGAAACGATAATTCACCGTTTTTGGCATCAGGAGTCTAAAGATGGGCATCCAAGTCGTGAGTTAAGGACAGAGAAAGTGGCTGATTTCCAAGAACAGCAATGAGCAAATCTGAGCTAGGCCCCGCTCCCAGAAGTCAGTGTCGTTATTTAGATGCCTATTTGGGAATTTCTGTTGGAATGCAAGTTCAGGCACCTRATTTGTAGAAATGGGGTCTTTTTTCGGGGAGGGAATCCTGCAGTGGTTGTGGTGGAGCGAAAGGCTGCGGATCCTGCGGGCTGCTAACGTCTCGGGCAGTCGGCCCTGTGTGTTTTGCTGGTTTATTTTGTTTTGGGGGTTGGTGGGTAGAAGCAAACCTCAGGATATCATGGTTAGTGTTTGGGACTGGAAACTGAAGTTACTCAAAGGAGAATCTCAAGGAATAGCATTAAAAGGTAACCAAGAATTCTTATATCACCTTTTTTTTTTTTTGATGTAAACAAGCGAAAAATAATAGTTTTGTGCTGAAAGCATATGAGCAAGTTTCCTTTGTAAGGAAGAATTTGGTAAAATACCTAAATATTKAGTAGTTTTTTAGTCAGGGAGTAGTGATATGCCTTGCAAGAGGCATGATATCAATACTTACGGGGGGTATGAAAAACTTTTATAAATCAATGAAATTCCATAGCAAAAATGCCTAAACCTGAGGTGGGTTTTAGTCTTTATTTTCTGCTGTCAGGTAAAGAAGCCATTTAGGCCTGAATTGCAGAGTAGTKTTTAGTCTTTCTGCCTTGGATTGGATATATGAGTGGCAAGTGAAGTATTGTGTGTCTTGGATTTTATAGCCCTGGAAGGAGACTGAGAAAGCAAAATGTTCTGTGGACTTGCAGGGCGCCCTACTTAGCATTTCAAGAATCTCCTGCACTTTTCTGTTTTGAAAGGCTGATTTTCTGTGATAGGGCTCTATTCAAAATTGAACTTAGGCTTTAGATCACTTTGTGYTGCAGAACTGTCCTGTCATTCTTACTAATGGAGGAGTTTTATGAAAATCAGTGGTGCCCAGAGACATCAAGAGGTTTTAAAGTCCAAAGATAGCTAAAGATGTGATCTCACTGTGTTTGWTACTTCTTTGAAATAACACTTCTTACAACATGAGGACAAAGACCTAGTTAACATCCTCTTGTTATGCTTCCTATTAATCTCTCCGGTTCTCCAAATAACTGCTTTGTCCTCCCTCTCCTCTTCCATCTTGTCATCTAAGCAACGTAGACATCAACCAAGGAAACTGAGGCAGCTGATGTGTGTCAGGCCAGTGTCATGATGTGTTGCTGCCTGSTAAGAGCAAGCTGAGAAGGTGGTGGTTTTTCTGGAGTGGTAAGGGTTTCTCTTCTGACATGGAAGGGCTTTTCCCCCTCCTTCCCAAAGCTCTCTAGCAGCTTTCTCTCTGCTGAGAACTTCAGCCTTCCAATTTTCACAGTTTTTCTACAGAAGAGTTCTTCTGGGGGGGTTCTCCTGGATTTGGTGGCCTTACATAAGGTGACACTTTGTGGCCTTCTCATGTGCTAGTGGATCCTATCTGATGCTGTTTGCTTTAGCTGAAGCTTTCACAGCTCTCTCAAACCTTTTTGGTAGACTCGATGGTCACCTATCAACATGCAGACTTCCTTTCTTTTTAAATGTAAGCAGTATTGCCAATTTTTGACCAAAGGCCTAGGAGTAGTTTGCATATAGTTCTAATGTATTAATATTTTTGAAGAATTTCATAACATCTTCAAGTTATGTATTCAATAGTATTCTGAGAGTTTGACCAGGGAACAAAACTCACATTTTCTGGCTGAGCTGCAGCCCAGCATCTGATTATGAAAGCCTGAGTCCGCACATGTGCTTAGATACTTAGCTTGAGCAGAAATAGATTGGGCATATCTCTGAGTTTCATCTTGTTAGCAGCCATTGCTTTCATAGTTATTTAATGGTTATTTAATGCTTTTCTTGTTTTGGTTTGGTCTTAAGGGATATAAACATTTACAACTTTTGACGCTACCAGTCATTGCCTGTCAGTGGATTTTCAAATTCTATTCACTTACCACTCTAAAAAGGAGAGCTGTAAGAAACTTAAAGACGGTTTCATGCTCCTGGACATAAGAAGAACGTAATCCACTTGATGTCAGTGACTTATTTAGGTTTACTAACCTCGTGTTTGGGCATACCAGGAGAGTAGGAAAATTCTAATGTAATTTTCAGTGTTTATCTAAGGCCTGCCTTTATATCTTTCAAGGTGAGAGCCTGGGAATTCTCAGGAGTCTTCTGTGTGCCCATAAGAAAGAATCTCCAGCATCTGTTAAAACAAAACAGAATTCTGATGTATTTTGTTTAAAAAAAAAACCAAAAACAACAAATACTTGTTTGCTGAGATTAAATATTTGGACCCTAGGGGGTAAAAGCGCTTTGTAGTTACAGGCCTGAGCGTTTGCAGATGCTGATCCGGCTTGCCCTGGTGTTCAGGGACACTTGCAGATGCTCATCCTGCTTGCCCTGGGCTTCAGGGGCCTTCCCACATTTTTAAAATTGTGTAAGATATGGGACAATTTATTTTCTGTCCGAGGCAGAAAGGCAGAGATAGTAACTGCAGCTGCTGGGTTGTGTTCTTTGCTGTGAAAAGGCTTCTGCTGGATWAAGAGGAGTAGCCAGTTATCTGTTTGTGCAAGTTATTAGCTCCCCAATGTCCTGATTCTCAGTATGAGGAAATGTACTGATTCCAATGTTTCAATACTAACTGCTTTAAATTTTCTGGAAGTTGATGTTCCTCTGAATTGGGAAACTATTCTAATTAGAAAAGGACCCTTGTAGTTGCTGCAGTTGAAGCAGTATTTAATGTTGTGCAGTTATTGGCAGGAGACTTGATGCATTTTCACATGACCCCCTCCGGAACAAAAGCAGATTGTTTCACGCTGTTTTTCTGTTATACAAATGAAATCCTTTTGAAACAACTTCTTTTTCTGCAAGTTCTGGAAATCAACATCAGGAGTAGTTTCCTTCACTGAGTCTTTTTATAATCTACTACGTGATAATATTGGAACAAGAGCTGCTTTGGAGTAGCAACCCTCCAAGGCGAGACATTTGCAGAAAGCTTTTGGCTTTGGAAAGGGCTTTTCCTCTAGTTTGTGAGAGGTTTGAACACTGAATTTCATTCCTGGCCTTCTCATTTAGCCATCTTTGCTATAGGTAGGCATGTTTTGGTTTTGCTTCCCTAGCTGTTCTTGTGTCTGACTTTTTATAGGCTCCACTGAAGGTTATATACTGTAAGTCAGTTATATGAAGTGAATTCAGTTCAAATAMCTGTTATTTTTTTGGAAGTCCTATTCCAATCCGAAGCCTTTTTCTTGGATGTGTGAAGCCGGAGCAAGATGATGGTGATGGTTGAGTGAGGGAAGCAGAGCTGCACAGCTGCATCAATTGCTTTTGGAYCAAAGTAGCAACTGACAGAATGAGTAAGTGGAGATTTCAAACAACACAGTAAATTACCAGCTAGGGAGTTCTTCTCCTGGGGTTATTTATTAGCTGACAGAACATTTTCCACAGCAACCTCCTTTCCCACTCCTCCTTTTCCTTGGAAATTAGGTATTTATAAAATGTCTTCCTGATGKTCATGCTTCTTATGTGGTCTTGATACCAAAGCACCATCTTCTCAGCTACTTTGCATTATTCCTAGATTACCAGCCTGTCAGTGGTGTGGACATTCACCCGCTCACTCGTGATCTGTGTGATGTACTGAAACCAAAATAAAAGTGTRTTCTTGTGAAAAGTGCCCTTATTTTGACTAGTCTCCTTCAGAATTCTTCATGAGAAAATAAAACTAGTGTATGAATCAGGCTGCAAATACTCTGAGGCTTTAAATACTGCCAAGTTCTTGTAATTAAGCTCTTTCGTTTGGTAGTTTCTCGTGACCAAATTCCAAGCAAGTCTCTGTAGTCCAAAACAGCAAAAAGATTTTGTATGCGAAGTTTGGAAGGTCCTCTTCTGTATGTCCATAAGCGCTGTGGAAAAGATGGATTTGATGGTGCAGGTAGAAATACCTGTAAACCCTTGGGCCTGGTGATTTGGGTGGGTGGAGCGAGGTGGAAGAGATGTGGAGCTGCACAAAAGAACTGGGGAATTAAATGCAGATATCCAAGTGTGTTTGGTTACCTTGCCCAAAACCTTGCTAGGCTCTAAACAGAAGAGATGTCGCTTCCAGGTGACCAGGAGCAGAAGAGCTCATACTCATTTAACTTCTGTAAATCAGGAGGCAGTGTTTTTACAGGTCAAAGTGAGATTTTTCTGTAGCTAAACCAAAGAAAACATTTGTGCTCTTCCTTGTTGTTAGTGATTACATGTAAACTTGCCTAATGGTTTCAGTTTTCACCGTGGGTGTGTTGAGAGCTTACGTGGTTTCCTGTATTCTGCCTAGCTAAAAAGTGCTGCTATTATTGCTGCTTCAGTGGGAGGAAACRCTGATAAGTGAAAACCATTACATTAAACTGGGTGTAGTGAATACAGTACAGCTGTAACGATCTGAAGAAGCTGGAAGGGATGCTAGATAGAAAAGAACTGGACTACTTTTTTGATCAAAAAGAAAATGACTGCTTCCCAAAAAGGTTATTTTGTGTACGGTTGATTCTGCCTAGCAGTGAGGGTTATTATTTCTTTCCTGCTTAAACCTTACAGGGATAACAGCAGATTTAGGTGCTGCAGTGTGGCCAGTGCTATCGAAAGTGCTGGCTTGTGCAGGGAGGTGATAGATGGCACTTGAATCCYATGACTTTGCTGATATTTGATGAGTTTTACTTGGCAATGTTTTGCCGTTGAGASAGTTCTGCAACTGGAGCCCTTCATGCCACAAACTGCAATTTTTCCATCCTTGCCTCTGCAACTCTCTCTATCATTCTGTAACGATGGATCTGTTAGTTTAATGGGCTGTTAGTCATAGCTGTAATCAGTAACTTATTCACAAAAGTGTTAGCATCGCCAGTTTTCACTTTTCCTTCCCTTTCTCCTCTACGGTCAAAGATAGCAGCCAGTGCTGCCAGCTACATGGGTTTGTTCATTAAAAATAAGCCTTTTAATGCTTCTTTAAGAATTACAGTGTTATTTTTCTTGAAGTCCAATCCCCCTCTTTGTAAAAAGATCTTGTGCAAATACAGGGTGACATCTTAACTTCAAAATGCAAAACAAAAAAGAACTTGAGGTTAATTTGATTTTAAGCTTCTAGGCATCTAGATACATGATTAAATGCTTCAGTGGGAAATATTGCTCTTATATCAGTGACTTTGTGAGGCTYGAATAAGCTTTCTGTATCTGACACGTGTTAATAAGGCCCAGTGTGTATCTGCAGTTTTTATCCTGTCACGTTTTCTTTGTTAACCCTAGCAGATGGTATTTACATGATAAAAATATTGCTATGAGCTGAAGAACTAACTTTTTTTTCTTCCTCTTTCCATTTCCATAGGTTATAGAATGGAACTTCTGGATAAAACAATCAATAGCTACCTTGATGTTTGGCTTGGACCCAGAGGTAAGCTTAATTTCTTACACTGATTTCTTTAGTGTCTGCAGAGCATCAGGCTTTGTAGCTCTGTTTTACACACACACACACACACACACAAACACACACACACACACACACACACGCGCGTGCATTTATATAAATAAAAGCATGTACTCGATGCTGCTTTTTGATCTTCTGACCTGAAGAGCTGCTGATTTTTCATCTATGAAAAATCATTATAGACTCTTTTATTAACAGTTCAGTGTCAGTGTTGTTAGTTTTACTGAGCTACTTGCTTCAATCTTTGCAGGTTTGTCTTAAACTTGGTAGGAGTTGGATTTTTTTTTAAAGAAAAAAAGCATTATTTGATATTTTTATGATATTTTTACTTGTTGAAGTAATATTCCTGCTCAGGAATTTTCAGTTGAAGAACACGGAATATCTGGAAAGTACTGATCCTTTGCAAYCATGCTTGGGCTTTGGTACATGCGTCACTGGATAAAGAGTCACGAGTGCAGAGCAGAAATTCAGGTCAGCACAAGGAAGAGACTGGAACCAGAATAGGTGATGGCCTCGTGGCCCAGACTCCCATGTAGGAGGTGGACGGTGCTGGCCCGTGTGCCAGCTCTTCCCATTCCTGACCAGGAATGATTTATTTTCTGTATCCTGTATGCAGTGTGCATAGCTAACCCTTATGCTTGTACATATGCTTGTATTTCACAGTGTCATGTGGTATTTCCTGTTTGTTTTTTGTTGTTCAATGCCTTTGTTGTCAGCATCTTCATGCTAAACCTGTTCTAGTCCGAATGTTGTTATATAACTTTCCAGGTGTGATATAAGAATGGTATGCTGGCATGGTGGTAAACTCTAATTATTTCTTATCTTGAAAATACTGAGCCATATTTAACCATAAATGAACCATAAGAATAACAGCTAAGAATTTCTCCCAACTCCACATTTTAAGGCCTCGTTTCTTGTATTCGGGATCCACATTAGACGCCTTTATAACTAAGTCAAGACTGTACATGCCAGTAATACTTAAGCCAAATTATTCATCTGTGGTTTGGTAAATATAATTTGTGTCCTTCTGACTGGCATTTAGTGAAAGGAGTGAACCACCATGGTGTCACTGGCTATTTGCTGTTAAACACAGCGGCTTTGTAGAAAAGCAGAGCATATTTTTCTCAAGTGTTCATCTGAAATGCTCTCATTCTGAGTAGTTTGCATGTTTCTTTATGAGGAATTTACATGATGACAACTAGATTGGTTTGTCACACTGGACTGACTGTTTTGTGTTTCATGGCTGGGGCAAGGAGTCTGAATTGAAAATTTACCAAGTGGCACATACCYAAGTCAGGTTGGGTTAGTACTGACGTGTGGTAGACTGGAAGATAATTGTCAGTAATATCTGCTAATAACCATGAAACTATGCAGTTCCCTCTTAGATTTGGCTGTTTGAGGAAGTAAGGAAAAGCAAAAAGTGTGCAGATGTGCTCTTGGGAAAAGCTGGTTCGAGAGAATCAGAGAGGGGCAAAACTTCCAAGTTTTTCTTTAAATTTAAACGTTTTGGTATTCCCAATGGAGGAAGCCTGTGAATAGAAGTGAGTATTTCAAAATAGTAGTAATAATTTATGAATATATCTGCATTAGGAAGAGGATGATGTGTATTTTCTTTAGCACTTGTGTAAAATCTTGCTATATTACTAAAATCTTACTTGTGAAAGTTGTTCACAATTAACAATTCAGCATTTAATAAAAATATCTGCGTTGTCCTTCCCCTTACAAAATCTAAGTGTTTGTATTTTTGTGTGTTTGTTTTGTTTCAGACCCCAGAGTAAAAGGATGGCTTCTTCTGGAGAACTATTCACCTACCTTTATCTTCTCAATGTTGTACTTACTAATCGTATGGCTAGGACCAAAGTACATGCGGAATAAACAACCCTTCTCGTGCAGGGGTATTCTAGTGGTCTACAACCTTGGACTTACGCTGCTTTCTCTATATATGTTTTATGAGGTAGGAAAAAGGGTTGTTGGGGGATTAATTTGCAGTGTCTATTTTAATTACCTTGTCTTACGTGAAAAATTGTATGTGTGTTGTCCTGCTAAACTTGGGAAAACTTCTACAAAATGTTGTAGGAGTTCTTCAATTTCACTTCTCAGAGGAGAAAACCATAAGCTGATGCAAGGCTGATGCATTTCATACCATTCTTATATACCTTAAACATCTATACAGAGCTTGGTAGCAAATTTCAAATGTCATGGGCTTGCTCAGTGCAAGGGAGAGCAGCTGTCTTGATCTTTCAGCCTCAACGTTATATTCTTTCAGTAGCCCCTCCCTGCCTAGAGCACGAGCACAACTGGATGGTTTTGATTGACTGCATGAAGTACTTGGTAGCAAAACTACGTCTTGCCTTGGAGTGCAAAATTTATTTATTTGAATGTGTTTAATCATGCACATGCTCTTAGTATTTGTTTCACTAGTCTTGAAATAGCTTCCTTTGTGTCCTTCTACTTTTGCTGAAACAATTATATCAGCCTAGTTTGTGAGTCATCTGTTCTTGAAAGTTAAAAAATGTGAGCATTGAAACATGTTTGTAACTTCCTTAGTTTTGACCTCTACTTTCTGTTGATTTAGGCACTATAAACTTTTCCACTTCCTGTAAAGTGACTTAGCTGTTCTTAAACAGAATTGTTATGTTTCTGATTAGAGTGAAAAAGAACAATTATGGCAATATCAAAAAGAATGTGGTCATCAAGCATGTGACTTTAATGTACAGAATATTCTGACTTGCTTTTAACCATAAGCATTTGACCTCTTTGTAAGGAGAGGTTTCATTGTCATCATGAGATTATAAATAGGAACTAAAACTACTAATCTCTGTTGTAGCATTTGTTTGCAATTACATGCAACCTGTAATTCTCCCTTACAGAAAGTTAGTCCTATAGTGTTTTACAAAGTGAATGTTTAGATAGGATATGATTAACTTACTCCTGTTGTACAGTTAAATGTCTAGTCAAAAATTACTTTATTGAATTGGATTACAAAGAAATTTAGTATCTATTGCTGTAGGGTAAGCAGTTTGGTTTTAGTAAGTACTTGGAACAATTTATATTCTTCATTTACTCATTTTTCTCATCTTCTCTCAGGATACTGTAAACGTGTGAGGAAATGTATTCAGAATTTGTATATTGATGTGTTAAATTTGTCACTGAGAGGTGTTGCTGTAAACTTCCTGGGCAACTTCTGCCTTCTGGAGTTTTCAAGTGTAAATGTTTCTTTCATCTGGAGTTTTCAAGTGTAAATGTTTCTTTCAGTTTGGATAAAACTCTCAGTATAGCCAATCTGTTTTCTTCAATACATTGAATAATATTCAGAGTTTTCAAATGGAAATCATTTTAATGTCCTGCCCTGTTACAAAACATGCTGATAAATTTAAACAATGTCAAAGACTTGAACTATTGATCTTAGAAAGGTCTTTGTCTATAGAAGCTTTTCTTGCTAATGTTGAATAGGTTCCCAAGAAAGGACTATTTATTGCATGTTGAGAAACTCCTCCTAGTCAGAGCCAGCTGTATAGCCTTTGTATTGTGAAAGAATAAGACAAGTAAAATACAGCGACTGATAAGGCTGCTGCTTTCTATATAGTGAAATACAGCACCAAAATGTATGTTACATTTAATGTAAACATTATCTGAGTGGAAGTGTTCTCTAGCATTATTGAAAATATGCTTGCCCTTTATAAATGGGAATACAAAAATGTACAACATGATTAAACTCATGATAGTTGCCAGAAAATGTTCCTRTAAGCTAGCTTTCTCTGTAGGCCACATTGGGTTAGAATATAGGCTCTATTATAAACATGCTGTACTGCATCCTGGTTTAGGTAGCAATAACGTGTTAGACTTGAGGGCAAACAATGTTCTGTAACGAGATCCCATGCAAATACCAACACCCAGAGATCCTCAGCAACACAGCAGCAGGCCGGTGGATGTTTCCGGAGCGGCAGCTGAAGGGTTGGCTTGCCTAGGTAATGCTTGGCTTCCTCCATCTTCTTTTCCAACAGGCTGGACATGAGCCATCCGAGTGCCCAGGAAGACCAGCAGCCTCCTGGCTTGTGTCAGAACAGTGTAGCCAGCAGGACCAGGGAGATGATCCTTGAATACAGTGTTCAGTTTTAGGCCCCATGCTACAAGAAGGACATTGAGGAGCTGCAGGGTGTTCAGAGAAGTTCAGTGAAGCTGGTGAAGGTGCTGGGCAGACCTTATGAGGAGCAGCTGAGGGAGCTGGGGTTATTTAGTGTTGAGAAAAGGAGGCTCAGGGGAGACCTTGTCATTCCTTACAGCTACCTGACAGGAGGCTGTAGAGACCTTGTCACTCCTTACAGCTACCTGACAGGGGTCGATCTCTTCTCTAGAATAACTACAGATGGAACAAGAGGAAATGGCCTCACATTGTACCAGGTGATGTTCAGGTTAGACATTAGGCAAAATTTCTACACAAAGAGTGGTGGAACCTTGGGACAGACTGCCCAGGGAAGTGATGGAGTCACCATCCCTGGCAGTGTTCAAGAAATGTGTATAYGAGGCGCTTAGGGACGTGGTTTAGCAGGCAGGATGTCAAAGGGTTTACRGTTGGACTTGATTATCTTGAAGGTGTTTTCCAACCATCATGATTCTGCGACTGTATCTGTATTCACCAGTTGCAGTGCCTCTGTATCCCCCATGGTCATCCAAAGTATATGATAGTTTCACTAGGGTCACATCAGTGACTGAAATTTGGTTTTGAAAGATTAATTAGCTACAACTGCTTCACACTGTAAATCCTCTCTTTCAGGCAAAAATGCTGTAGACCAGCATTCAAGCAGAGGGATGGGAGAGAGGGGATTGCATTTTAATGCTTATGTAACTCCCTGTTCCCTTCCCTGTTGTCACTTCATATTTCAGCTAGATTAGGTTTTCATAGTCCTAGTTTGTGGAAAGTCATAAAGCATCACCTCATATGAGCTCATTCAGTACCCTGTCTGAAAATAAACTGGTTTAATAGCTTGCATATGACGTACCTGAAATCCTGCTTTGGAGTTTTTGCTCAGTTATAGCTGTGGTGGTGGTTCAGACCATGCTTCATAGTATCCCAACTTTAGTTTAAATTCATATGACAAATGCAAGATATTAAAGGGAAGAGCCCCCCAGCTGGGATGAGAAACCTGGCCCACCTGGGATTCTGGCCTTAACATCTGAATGTAAAAATGAATATTTTTACATCATGAGATATGCATAGTTTCACCTATTGTATAGCTATATCATTTAGTCTCCTGGTGCAGTGAATGTTGTACTAGATGTTACTGGGAGAGAGCAGGGCATGCAAAGCTTTTCTGGCACTTGCAGTACAGATAAAAGAACTCAGGAGCAATATGACCGAATTTTAAAATGAGTAGAAAATCTTGTACCTCTCACTTGGGATTTCTGGCTGGTGGGTTTTTTACATGCTTATTGTAAATTATTCAGGATGACACAAGAGTGGTGTGGCAACACGGACTTGGGAGTAGTGGCTGTGCCTATCCCAGGTGGTTATGAAGGCTGGGCAGACTCAGGAGGCCAGGAGACATTAGGACAAAGTGAGCAGCGTTGCACTTACTTTAGAAATGATGATTACTTCAGAAAGAGGGGGAAATAGCTGTTTGTAGAGTATCTATAACTAGTGTGATGCTCATGTAGGGTTTGATTTGGACCTCTATGGTGTTAGCTTAGGAAAAGCCCCCAATTTACTACAAAAAATGCTGCTGCATGTGCAGTGGGGAAAGGAGCCTCTGAAGCAGAACCCTCCATCCTGGGCCTGTCTGYGAGGAGACATGCATAAGTTCCTGAAGGGAGAATGCAGGGAAGAAGGGGACAAGCTCTTCTCATTGGTGGCCAGTGATAGGACAAAGGGAAATGGTTATACGTTGAAACACAGGAAGTTCCATCTCCAAGTAAAGAAGAACTTTTTTACTGTGAGAGTGACAGAGCCCTGGAACAGGCTGCCCAGGGAGGTTGTGGAGTCTCCTTCTCTGGAGCTCTTCAAAACCCGCCTGGATGCCACCCTGTGCCCCCTTGCTCTGGATGTCCCTGCTGGAGCAGGAAGGTTGGACTACGTATCTCTAGAGGTCCCTTCCAACCTTGAACATTCTGTGACTCTGTGAGACRTTAAGGCCCATCAGGTCTGTGCAGGCAGTGAAGTTGCAGCAAAACCTCGGTCATGCAGCTCTTTCCTGTCCTGTTTCTTTCTCAGCAGGTCCCGAAGTCCTTATCTCTCTTGAGAGGTGATTATATTAATAAAAAGATAAAATTATCTATTTTTGGAAGCACAAACCTGTCAACTTCTGCTGCTTTTCACCTTAATCAAGTTCTTTTCTGAATCTTGTAAAGTTATCGCACGTTTSCAGTGTGCTGCAGCACTGGGTCCCTTATCGGTCCATTCCCAGCGAGTCTCAGGTTTTTATTGTGGAAACACGGAATCCTGCCCTTCCCACAGCTAGTGCAGACTGGTGTTAGTCTGCTGGGTTAATTTGGGCAGCAGCTCTGATGGAAAGCACATGCCACATCATTCTAAATAATTCAGTAGCAGAATTACAAAAAAAAAAAAAAAAGTATTATAAAAATTAAAATTTCAATGCAGGAGAAGGAAGTAAGAGCACAAAAGCAGCTTCCAACTGTAGGGTTTCCCCTGGAGCCAGATGATCTTTTAAAAACATTGGCTTTGAGAGCCATTTTAATTGGATTATGGAGTAGCTGTGTGGTTGGGTTTTTTTTTTTGTTGTTGTTCTTTTAATCAACATACTCAGCTGCTCCAAAAGGTTGTGGTCAGCCATTTCTAGACAGGTTACTTCCTCCAGAGAAATTAATTCAGGTTGTGATCTTGATGCCACCAGCAGTCCGCGTCCGTGCAGGGCCAGCCCGGATGCCGTGAGGAGCACGAGCACCTGGGCACGATGCGACCTGCCCAACYGTGGCCATCAGGAGGGTGAGAAACCCTCCCTGTGGGCAGGCAGCTCAGCGGTGGCGTGAGCAGTAACCACCGTTCTGCCACAGCGATTTAAGCGCCCGTGTATTTTGATTGTCTCTTAGGGCAGGTTTACGGCTCACTGGGGCTGTACCCTCAGCTGCGTAACCGGCGGGTCCGCTTGGGAATGGCGTCTCGGTGCCGCCAGCAGGGCCCGTGTTCTGGAGCCTTCCGGCCCTGCCGCATGTCTGGCGGGTGCAGGAGATAGAGGCGTGGGACAGGTGGGTTACTGAGGAAGCGCATCAGCTGCTAGGGATGTAGAGAATCATGGAGTGGTTGAGGTGGTTGAGGTTGGAAGGGACCTCCAAAGATCATCTAGTCCAACTCCTCTTCTCCAGCAGGGACGCACAGGGCACAGGGCAGCATCCAGGTGGGTTTGCAAGATCTCCAGAGAAGGAGACTCCACAACCTCCCTGGGCAGCCTCTTCCAGGGCTCTGTCACTCTCACAGGAAAGAATTTCTTCCTCATATGTTGCACAGGGCAAGGTTGGTGGGCTGTGGTAGTGACTTTTGTGCACATAGGCCCTTTAAGTAAGATTGGGGGTTTGGTTTGACCACCATGGCAGTAAGAGTATATAGCATATAATTCTAGCATATAGGATATGATATATCCTAGCATATAGTATGCATTTCTGGAAATATATGAGTGCTGAAGTTAGTCGTGTCCCTACTGATGCCTTTACCCTTTAGAGAAGAGGGATCAGTCTAAATGCCTTCAATTTCATTATGCTTTACATGGTGAACCGAGATCCTTTATGGTAAAGGCTGTTTAGGTTTTGCTGTAGCCGCCTTTCTCTGGAGAAATTTAGGGAATGAAGGATTACTGACTGAAGCTGAGCCCCACTATCTGGAGTGATTACAGTATAAACACTGTGATTATTCTTTCATTTTTAACATTTCCTTGAGCTGTGAGAATGGTATCAAAGCACCTGCAAGCTCTCAGCGACCCAGTTGGTCGTTGATGGTCTGATGGACCAGCAGGCGCCCCAGGAGCTGCCCGAGGGTGTGAGAACAGCTTCAGATGGGTGCCTGGTGCTTTGTCATGGTGTTGCTTTTAAACTGGGGTGTTTGCAGTAGCCCCTCTTCCCTTATGGAAGTGGTAAGAGGTCCTCTTCTGTCTGCAGTCTGCTGCTCGAGCAGAGCAAGTGCCTGGGTTCATGACCCATGTGCAAGATTGGCCTGCTAATAGTGATTTCCCTCCATTTCATGAGATAATTCCAGGTCTGTATGTTGTGGAATAACTAAATATTTATATATATTCATATATATATATATATATATATATACACACACACCCACACACAGAGGCGATAATTCAATCTCAGAAGGTCAAAAATAATGACCCAGGATAGCTATTTTAAAAGCTATTTCAGGGGGGAAAGGAGCTATCAAAGGAATAACATTAAGAAAAGGCAAGCCATTAAAGTGATAACCTTTATTGTACCATTCAGAGTTAGTTTCCCATTCACACTTCTGGGCAGCCTTTAATACTACCAGTTATATTCTTTAATGAACTGATCATTTTAGAATGAATTTTAGAATCATTTAGAATTTAGAAATTCAGAATTTTAGAAAACAAAAAGTTTTTCACCATGGCTATGGAACATTCTTGTTCATTCTGCAAAAATGTAGCTAAGGCCACAAATGGCCTTTTGCTCTGGATACCTGTCTCTGTTTTAAAAAAACATAAATGCATTTTTGAGGATAGCTAAGAATGATCTAAATTTACTACTTCTAATGCTATTTCACAAGGGAAAAATCATTACATACAACAACAAATGATTTCTTATAGCATGGTATTAGTTTAATAGAAGCAGAGGAGGAAGATTTTTGGAAAGCTAGAAGACAGAATCACCAGTGTCCCTCACCTCCTGCCTTTTACTTATTTATTTTCCTTTTAAAATACTTTTAAGTGAACTGGAGTAAAAGCCCCAGCACGTTGCAGCATCTCCTGGCATTTGGTGTGCCAGGAAGGCAGGCAAAGGCACGTAGTGCAGAGGCAGCCACTTCTACTGCAAAGGTTGTAATGTACTCAGTGAATTACTGAAAAATAAACACTAAAGAATCAAAATACAGCAAAACATCAGTTGTTAGTTGATACAGCAAAACATCAGTTGTTAGTTGTTGTGGATAGCAAAGGTGAAGATTTGTTCTGTCATTAAAATGAAAGAAGCATTGTTATAAATTTCCTTTAAAACACATTTTTTCTCCCCCCAAAATAGAGGAAAAATGTATTTATTTATTTATTTATTTATTTATTTGTGGTTGTCCTTTTTTTTTTTTCAGAAAAGAGATCATCAGCTATAAGAGAAAGATATTTCTTAAGAATTTGTCCAGAATAGGCCTGTGTAAACACATGCACACACAATATTGTCAGTTGGGAAGTTGGGATAAGATGGTACCTCTTGTTTTTCCAGCACTGGAAGAACTTCTGTTAATTTATCCTCTATTTGCTAGTACAATTCAGTTATTCCTTGGAGCTTTAAGTCAACCTAGCTCCTAGGAGCTCCTAGCTCCAAAATTCCATGTTCAGATATCTGTGATTCCCTCAATACCAGATGTCTCAGCTGTGGTTTGAAGGTACCACGGGGTGCAGCATTTTCATCTAATGACATGTTATTCTTTGATCTTGTCAGCTGGTGACAGGAGTATGGGAAGGAGGATACAACTTCTTCTGCCAAGATACGCACAGTGGAGGTGAAGCTGATATGAAGGTAATGTAATCATGAGTTATAGTTAACATTTCAGGTTGTCTCCTTGTATCTAAGTGGTGAGCACAACAGTATTGATTATATGGCTTGTTCAGACTGTGCTTATTTTTCCTGTACAATTCAATGGGAAAAGTATAGTGAAACATGATAGTTAATCTATAATATRTCCATATGTTTACAATTTCTGTAGATAATCTGTAAATTTTCAAGTGTTTCCTAGCTGTAAAAAGGGAGTTCAGTCTTGGTATTCAGTCTGTAACCAACCACTGGTTCCTGATCACTGTTAGATGCCTCCTTGCAGACAGTGCTGCAGTAGCAGCTGTGGTTAAATATCCTCTCCTGTTTCTCCCAGGACACCCYAGGTGCACAGGAGTAACCTCACAAATGGTTCTTTGTCACCCTTCTCTTCTCATATGTAGCTGTAACTTTGTACCCAAGTCTCTCTTGGAGAAACCTGAGACAATAGTCTGAAGTGTTAGAGAAGACCTCAACAGAGAGTCTTCAATCTCAGAGTAGTACAAGACTGGGAGTTTGGATTTCAGTTAGATAGTGAAAGAGTTAAGAGCTCCCRCAATGTTTGTACAACTTTTAAAACTTGCTTCTCGTTCTTCAGATCATACGTGTGCTCTGGTGGTACTATTTCTCCAAACTGATTGAATTCATGGATACCTTCTTTTTTATTCTGCGGAAAAATAATCACCAGATCACTGTTCTGCATGTCTATCACCACGCGACCATGCTGAACATCTGGTGGTTCGTTATGAACTGGGTGCCTTGCGGTCACTGTAAGTACTGGGGCGCCGTGGGGACTGCTTGAAACAAAGGCCTTGCTTGGCTTTTGTTTAGCCAAATCAGACGTCTCTGGTACCTTTAGCTGCAGGATTTGTTCTGTCTGATGCTAAGCTGCTTTGTGGAGCTGCAGCTGAAGCTTATAGGTATTAAGCTTTTTTATAGGTGTAAGCTAACTTGTAGAGTGGCTTTGAAAAGACAGGCTAGGTTTGGTTTGAAAAATTTGCTGGASTGGCAGCTGTTATTTATCAGCTGCAGGAACTCACCTGTTAGCCTTGTTTTCACATTTGTTTGTAGTAGTTAAAAACTATAATAAATAAAACAATATATTTCCCCAAGTCAGGTCCAGAAGCTTCGTTTAGCATCAAGATGGCTAGTAGTGACTCCTGTCCTTGAATGTTCAAGCTCACTTGTGATGTTAGCTTTCTTAAATTAATCTTATTATCCCACTAACAAATGATTTCAATCAAGATCTTGCCCCAGAGCACTACTGAATGCTTCCTGAATGGAAGATTTTGCCTTTATTCTTGTCTTAAGTACTGCTAACCTCTGGTGATCTCTCTTTGACTCTTGAAGTTGCTCGCTTTTAGCAACTGCATTAATGTAGTTGTGTTCACATGCGCAGCTCCCAGATAGGGGCTCTGCTGAAGCCAGTAAGAGAAGCTTGCCACAAATTCCGTGGATCGGAAGCAACGGCAGTGCCGGCCCCAAAGCCGGATTGCTCAGGACTCTGCTTTCCGAGCCAAGCAAAATAGGAACTTGCCTTTGTTTTGTGTAGTCAGCACAACAGTGACTAATGTTTAACTTGCAGAAAGGAAGCACAGTCTGGTCTAGAGAAGCACAGTCTGGTCTAGAGAAGCCAGTCCCTGTTTATAGAACGGTCAAGAACGCAAGGGCCTGGGCTATCTTAGGTTTGAGTGGTCTTGAAAATACTTATGTTTTTATTCCTGGTGATACTTTTTTTTTTTTTTCTTTCCAAGCTTTGTTTTCTGCTTGGTCATATAGGTACTATGCAGCTTTGTGCTAAGCTAGAATTTAAGTTTCTTTAATGACTAAATATGTTGAAAGCAGGCAAAAAAAAAAAAAAAAAAAAAAAAGGTTAACTTGCAGTTTCAGAAGGTACCTGCTGGTTTTGGTTATAAATGACAAAAGAAGCCCTAAGCTGGCTGGAAGTGAAATAAGCCTAAAATTCAGTTGGTGGAGCTGTTAGTTGCTGGGCATGTTTACCTCCCTCCTTGGATTTAGCTTCCTCAGTTCCCGTGGAACATGGGTGGAAGATGCAGGAAAGAATAAACAGAAAGTAGAATAAGAGGGTAGTATAAAGTACACAGATACAAAGCTTCTCAGCTACTCAGTTGTGTTAACAGAAATACAATGAGGGAAGTAGCCTTTTTTTATAGTCTTGGTTCTCAGAGAAATCATATTTGAAATAGCTTCACTTAGAAATTGTTTTGACAGTTTCCATATAACAGTGTGTGCCTGTTCCTGAAACGCTCTTTCTTCCTGCTTTGCCATTGCAGCCTACTTTGGTGCCACGCTGAACAGCTTTATCCATGTCCTCATGTACTCCTACTACGGCTTGTCAGCGGTTCCAGCCATGCGGCCGTATCTGTGGTGGAAGAAGTACATCACTCAGGGGCAGCTGGTGAGCCTGTCTGCTTGCATTCCCATGGGGATCTCCTCGTCTTTGCCGCGTTAAAAATCCTGGCAGCGGGAAGGGGGAAGCTGAAAGGGAGAAGGGAGCAAGGACAAATACCTTCTTATTTCTCTAAGTGTCTAAATTGCCATAGAAATCCAGGCTTTGCACCTGCAGTGAGTACTGATTTGGGGATGGTAGGGACTGAAAGTGGGTTTGAATTAGTGCTGAGCAGGTTAGCAGGATCTTTCTCTCCATTTTTATGCCAGGCCTAATCAGGAGCTGAAGCGCTGGGTTTTCTGTGACCCTCCGACTGGAGGGAGGGAGAAGCTTTTCTTCCACGTTGGTTTTAGTCTCAGCATTTGTTGCTCAGGCTGATGTTGGGATGACAGAAACTGAATGTGCCCCAGCGCATGGCTAACAAGGCCCTTCTTTTAGTCCAAGGGGACAATGACYTTTTTGTCCCATTTTTGTATGCAGTTGTAAATGGTTTATTAAAAACTGTTCAATATTTCTGTTCTCCTTCTGCACTTTAAATAGGCAGATTTTTTTCACTTGTAATTCTGTGTTKGCCTCCTCACATCCATTTGTATTGCTTCCTGTGGGTACAGTGGTGAGGCCTGGGAGCTGTGAGGTGAAGTGAAATCAAGCAGTGTGGCACACGCTGTGGTAATACTGCATGCCAAACATGTTTCAGTGGGTATAGTGTCTGAAAATTCAGTTCTGGGCACCCCAGTATAGGAGGGACGTGGAGCTKCTGGAAAGGGTCCAGAGAAGGGCAACCAGGATGATTAAGGGAATGGAACATCTCTCGTATGAAGAGAGGCTGAGTGAGCTGGGCCTGTTTTCTCTGGAGAAGAGACGGCTCAGAGGGGAYATGATTAATATGTATAAGTTCAGGAAGGGAGAATGCAGGGAGGAAGGGGACAAGCTGTTCTCACTGGTGGCCAGCGATAGGACGAGGGGTAATGGCCACAAGCTGGAGCACAAGAAGTTCCGTCTCCAGGTGAGGAGCAACTTCTTTMCTGTTAGGGTGACAGAGCAGTGGAACAGGCTGCCCAGGGAGGTTGTGGAGTCTCCTTCTCTGGAGGTCTTCAAAACCCGCCTGGATGCCACCCTGTGCCACATGCTGTAGGTGTGCCTGCTTGAGCAGGAAGGTTGGACTAGATGATCTGTAGAGGTCCCTTCCAACTTTAAATATTCTGTGAATCTGTGAAAATGCCCCCCCCCAAAAAGTACACAGATGTTTTTTCTTCCCTCTTTTATAGATGGACTAAACCTTAAACCTGTTCCTCCTTGCTGTAGGATCACTGCAGAGTGCGAGTGTCCCAGGGTGCAGGTGGCTCCTCTGGCTCTTGTCATGGCCAGTCTCACTTCCCGTCACGGGGCCCTGTGCAGAGCTGTCACAGCAGCATAATAGCAGGATAGAGCTGGTTTTCACTTTTAAATACACATTCCCTAACCTGGTAATTCCTGTTGGGATGAAACTTGCCAAAAGTTTGCTCCACAGAGGTAACTGAGGATAACTAAGCAGAAGGTCTTTCAAACCACACTGCTTCCCAGCCCCTTGCATCATATATGTAGTCTTTACCCCCCTCAAAATCTTCCACTGGAGCCCTATGTTGGGCAGCTTTGCTATCTGGGAGGGGATCACGGGACCTGCGTGCAGACCCCCCAGTCTGTGGCACTTGGAGCAATGAGCTAAAATGGAATAGTGTCAGTCGAATAAAAAGACTTAAACAACATAGTACCGTGACCTGAATGTCTGCTGAATCACATCTACATCAATAAGACTTCCAGAGAAGATAAACTTGTCCAAACACAAGGACATATGCCAGCAGGACATATTTTGATTGTTTGGGAAATAACTAATGATATTTTGGACAGCAGTAGTCTTTTGCCTTCTTGCATTAGTGTGTTCCATCTTCTCTTCTTTTTTTCTCTCTCCTCAGACTCAATTTGTCCTGACAATCTTCCAGACCAGCTGTGGTGTTGTTTGGCCATGTGCATTTCCTCAGGGGTGGCTGTATTTCCAGATCTCTTACATGATTTCTTTGATTATCCTCTTCACAAATTTCTACATCCAGGTAAAAGCAATATTGATTTTTTTTTTTTTTTTTTAACATTCCACTGATTGCATCACCTTGGAAAGCTGCTTTATGGAAAGTAATGCTTGCGATGCCGCTTTTCTTCTAGGAACTTTTTTTTAGTGCTGTATTTGTATATGTTTATATTTGTTGAGATGTTTTTATTTATCCAGGGAAACCTCCCAAACGTTCAACATTCAAAAGTATGGTTTTGGTTCACTTGTACAGGAATTTGTTTGTATTTCCATATGGAAAAACAGCATTTTGAAATGTGTTTCTAAGCAGCATATTTCCTGCCTGAACAGGTCCAGACTGAATGTGTGTTGTTCTGAGTAGATGATAATCAGATTCTGTGTGAAGATGTATTTCAAACATCTTATTAAAAAAAAAAAAAAAAAATCCAGCCAAAGTAACATGCAACCACCCAAACAAGCCAACCAATTCTGTTAGATATTTGAAAAGTCTTCTGAAAGATGCAAATATTTCAGGTCTGGTAATACTGACTTTAAGGGGAAAATAGTAATCTTTCTTTTCTAATCTTCTGGCTCTTAAAATCAGTCCTTCGGTTTATGTCACTGAYTGCATATGAACAGGCTGATTAAACATGGTCATATATTCCAAATGCTGTTTTTCAATATTTTTCATCATTTTTTTTCTCGTATTTTAACTTCTAAACATTTAATCTCTCTCTTCATGCAAATACTTTGGGAAACATGTTCTTGTCAGGCTGCTGAGTGCCTGTGACAAGGATTAATTCCTGTGTGCTTCTCCCTATGTGTTTGTGTGTGGTTGTTTCTTGGTGTGCTGAGCCTCCCTCCTCCTGGTACGTTTTGCTTCTTTCTTGCTTTATGTCTCAGATGGTGCAAATTTACTTCACATTTCTGCCCCTGAAACATCCCTAATTATTCTTGTTGACCCGTTTCTAGTCTTGGCATTGTCATCCATACCGTGACCTGTAGTGCATTAAACCTCCTTCCACGCTTGTCATCTCGAGTATATTCTTACAGTGTATTCTGCTCACAAAAATTCTTGCTTCCTCCTAATTTACTGTTAACACAATACTGCCAGTGCTACCATCGTGCTACCAGTCCTTTTTCCTCTCCTGTGAACCAACTCCCTGATTATGAAGAATGAAACACATAGCTTCAAATACAAAATAAAAAATAATAAGCTTGTTAGACTTTGCCATCAGCACAGGGTCTTTAAAAATGATGGAAGCAAGTTTGCCTCTGTTTCTTGAATTACTGTGAGGAAGTGGTTATTTAGCAAAATAGCACCGCACAGTATTTAAGCAAAACCATGTGTCTTTCTGTACATTCTAGACTTACAACAAGAAGGCATCCTCGAGGAGGAAAGAGTATCAGAATGGCTCTACAGCCACTGTGAACGGGTACACAAACAGCTTTTCTTCCCTTGAGAACAATGTGAAACAACGAAAACAAAGGAAGGATTGAAGACCAAACTGAAAAACCATTTTGATACCCCCAACAACAAAATCATCTGATTGTAAGCACAATAAGAGTTGTGCACTAATACTCTAATGGCTACTGTAACTATTCCTGCCTAGAATAGTGTGATTTATGTAGGACTTAACCAGTGCAAACACCCTAGAAACTGTATGCAGAATATAAAAGTAGGTTAAAGTTTAATAATAATTCTGGGCTGTCACTGACCCTGCTATAGACTGTGGAAGGGAGTATTGTAGTATATGACACTGCTGTTGCCTTACTAGTCAATATGATAGGTGCTGAATTATGATTCACAATTTGAAAACACTGTAATCTAAACTCCATTTTTTTACTGTAGATTATGCATGTGATTGTAGAGGTAATTTGTACGATGCTGGTTTCAGTAGATAAACACACATGCCTTAAAAAAAATAAAAAGCAGGGCCCAAAGCTTACTACTGGTTTAAAAATGATGGTGTGTTTCAACTTTTGGTTGATTGACTTTTTATTAAAAAGTCATTTAGAAGAATCCATTGATCATTTTACTGTTCTGTATGTGATACATGGTGTTAGGTATCTCCTACGTGATACAGTGAAATTGGAAATGGCACATTTAGTTTTGTATATTTGGCTTTATCTGACTAAACAGTCACAAACCTGATGGAAAAGTTATTTTACCTTTTTAATAGATCTTATTTTTTTATTTGAACTATGTCACTTATGTAAAATTAATTGGCGCTTATACAGTCCAGTAAGACGTAAGTATTGTCGCTTAGAGTATATACAGGGTGGACCCATCTTTTTTTCTTCTCTTTCTTTTCTTATTTCTGAGAATTGTTTCATGCTAATTGAAGAGTGGTTTTTAATATGGGAACTGGCAGAGTTTCAAGTGTTGTTACCACAGCCATATCCACATTTTAGGAGCAACTATGTAAGTCTGTAACATATCCAAAAATGAATTTACAAATGGAGATAGAAAGATACTTTTCTGATGGGATTGTTTGTATTTAAGTTGGTATCCGTACTGTTCTTTGTATTGCATATGTTCGTTTTTAAAATGTGCCTCGCAAAAACAATTTTTTCCCCAAAAAAGCAAAATTAAACAGTCTTAAGTTATACCTGATGTTTTTTAAATGTTRCTGAAATGTGCTGGAGGTGAGCGTGTGTTTCTGTAATGTGAGTTGTGTATGTCACCTGTAATGTTTTGGCTTGTTATCTGAAGATTTGTTTAGAGAGCTGTTAAAATTACTCCTTACTGTAAAATCTTGCCTTGCACACCCGAGGAGTCAGTTGCAAAAAACAATATCTATTGCTGGTATGTTATTATGGCATCTCCTCGGTGGAGTTTGGCTTATGGATATCTGATTCATTAAGCTCTGAAAAATTAAATTGTGCACGACATTTCTGTTGATCATCACTCAAGCTAAACTATTTGTTTTTGATATTTATATAAAAGCCAGTTTTAACTTGTTTATTTTTTTAATCTTTTTTTTTTTTGCACATCTCTTAGGGAGTTAATAAGTTCTACCAGCGTTGTGAGGTTTCATTCCTTGTTTTGAAGGAGACAGTGTCTGTTATGTTTACATTATCAAAGCTTGTGTGTGTGTCTTCATTTCTAGGTACTGGTTTGCAGAGTCTTTACATAGCTCAGTACAGCAGCTACAGTGTTCAAAATAAGCTGTCTAAATGTGCTAGAAATAAACCCTTGGCTCATCTGAATATCCCTACGTTGTTAATGTTTGACATGGCTTAATCATTAAAACGCTTTCGGTGATCCCTGCCTGAATTCCATAGTGGGTTTGTATATAATCTATGTAAGGTCAGGMAGGAATTGTCCTTTTTCGTATATAATCTATGTAAGGTCAGGCAGGARTTGTCTTGGTGGAGGGACACGCTGCAGATATTTAGAGAAATTTAACAAATCAGAGATTCAGTATCAGATTTCTTACAGAAAACTTTGGTCATCACTGAGCAGTTCAGTTCTGCTGCCTGGCTGTGGAAGCGGCTCCCTGGCTGCGGAACAGCCTGGAGGACTCAGTGCTGCAAACCAAACTSTGTGGGCCGAGAGGGACCTTCTGCATGAATTTCCCTGTCTTTTTTCTAGTTTATAGACTCTTAGTACAAGAAGCCTAGTCCCAGGACACGGGCTTTGCGTTGTGCTGGGAAGGTGCAGAGGTTTCACGTTGGTCTGGTCTCTTCTGGGAGGCAGCCCCAGGTTCCTGAGGCATCTGCTGGGAAAGGCACTTGCTCCTGCACGTAAAAATGAACTGTGAAAGTGAGTGTCTTTCTGAGCGAGGTGGATGTGTTTTGAAGGTTGCTGAGGACCACACAGGCAGAGTGCAGATGCTCAGCAAAGCCACAGAGGGCACGTAGGAGGTAGAAGCTGAAATGCCAGCGTGGAGCTCGTGGGGAGCCAGGGCTGCGGCGCTCCGAGCCTGGCCGCCAAGGTCAGCGGTGCTGCCGAAACGTGATTGTTCAGGGTGGTTTTCATTTAGGATCGTTGCCACTGCATAGACCTTTCACTCCGTCCAGATCTGCCAGGGCATGCGGTCTCGTGAACCTGTGYGGTTGGGTTTGGGTTGTGTCTTGGGGCTGGCTTGGTGGCCTGCAGCAACACAAGTACGGACAGGTCGGAATCCGGGGCTGCTTCACCCTCCTCAGCAAGTGAGAAGTGYCCAAGAGCTGCTGATTTGTAACATGGTAGACTGAGTCAGGAAACTGACTGTACATACCTGGCTTGGCCTCCAGCCTTTCCATGACTGGGGACAGGCCACAGCCTCTCTTTGCCTCAATCTTCCGGTTAACTAAAGTTTTACTGATAGGTACCACTGTAGCTGATGTCTGGGACTGTAAGAGAGTCATCTTAAGGGACTTTCTTACTTCACATTATAGAGATCGGAGAAGTAAAAGAGGACAAATCATTGCAAAGTGGATGTGGAGGGTTCATGTAAAGCAGGTTAAGACCTTAAGACCTTGGTCTTAAGACCAAGATGCCCCAGTGCTTGCTAAGAGTGAATGGTCAAGCTTCCCCCCTTTATGTTCTCCTGCAGCTGCTGAAGGGACCCAAGCATTTTGAGTAGAGAGCCCCTACAGCTTTTCCTGACAAGGAGGTAACGCTTTTGGCAAGCTGAAACTGGGATAGGAACCTGGTTCCAATGCCCAGGACTTAGCTTTTCTTGAAGCAGACCTCATGYAAGTACCCTGGGTTCTGAATCCCTGAGACATAAACAGGCCCTGGGTTCATGTAGGTGCTGCAATTGCTGGAGTTTGCAGAGGGGAGTGGAAACGCATAAAGCTATTCTGGAAATCAAGGAAATCTCTTTATTTTACCTACTTAGAGCAAGACAGTTATTCAGTAAGTGCTTCAGCTTCTACCACCAAAACTGGGGCAAAGAAACGCCCAAAGCTCCAAACGTGATACAGAATGTTTGAAGGATTGGCCTCTACCTGTGATACTCAGTGGGTGTCTTGAGACACGAGTTGAGAGAAATGCATGTATGCTGTATGTGACTTAACTATATGTTGTTGAAGATGCATATATTGTTAAGSGTAAACATTCAAAAAGATAAAAGTAAAAAGAAGAAATACATTAGATGGGGAAAAAAGTGTAAATAAAATTTGCAGTGCAGGTTCCATTGGGATTGTGTTATAAACAGTGTAGGACATGATTAAATTATGGATAAAGCTCTCTCTTTTTAGAGAAATGCTGCCAAGAATTTTATTTGTATGGAAGATTAACTTTACATAGTCATTGACATCCACTTACTAAGACTTACTGAACCAACAAAGGTAATTAGTTGTAATCATCAGAATATTGGAAGAGCTGGTTGGAAAAACAAACTGAAGAACAATTTTGAATATTCAGTTTGCTCAAATTAGATCTGTGTGTTCTTTCATTTCAGTAGAGCAAATTTGGGTAAGCAAAAGAACATGAAAGTTCCCAGGATGTGACCATTTGGGTGGCATCATATTTAAAGTTGAATGTGCTAAAATCATCCCGAACCGGGAAAAAGTGAGTGCCAAAAGGGAGAAGGAGGAAATGGAATTCTATGTCTTGTTTATTAAGAATATATAGTGTAGATAGTGTGCTTTCTATGGGAAAAAAAGTAAAAATTGATTATGCTAGCTGCTAGGCCTCATTTCATATAATCTCATTTCTGTATTGTACAAGGCTTCAGAATTAATATAGAAGGAAAGAGTGAAGTACATGGAAAAATAAACAGAAAATTGTAGAAAAGGTAACAGATCTTCTGGAAGTGATCATTCCTGAGTTACCAGTATTGTTTTTTAATGTAAACAGTATCCACACAAAGGAAATTCATATTACATGCATCTGGAATGAGTAAAATTTTTATTGTAGAAATGATTATCTAAACTAGTGAGGGTGGTTACAAGCTGCAAGGCTTGTCAGGGTAAGCAGGGGTCAAATTGCTTTGGAAATGGTGGCTCTCATCACTCTTGGCTGGAAGGCACCCCATTAGTAATGTTGTAGTAATGAGTTTGGTATGAAAAGTAGGAATATTTGCAGGGATATTTGCAGCTGGCGAAGTTAGGAAGCAGAATGAAAGCAGAAGAAGACAAGATATCCTGCAGTGACAAACAGATGGCCTTGATGGCTGCGTTAAGKGACATTAGGGTAAGCATAAGTTGTGCCCTTAGGGAGCAGCAACAGTTTTTGCTTCTATGAGAATCTTATTTGGAAATTGCTGAACAGGATAGATCGTTGATAATCATCTGTTTAATAGATTTAAGGAACTATTTATGTAAAGCAGAGGGAACCCTCATAATTAGCTGATCAGTCTGTTTTTGGTAGAAACAGTAACGTATCACAGCTGGAGGCAGAGGCTCTACTGAGACTAACCTTTGACAAACACATTTCTTCTCCCACTTTCCCTGTGTGACCACCATTTTTTGAAGAAAACTGAGTTTAAAAATCCTGCCGTAGAGAAGAGATGATCAGGGGAGTGGGGAAAGCTTGCAGAGTGAGATTGAAGGAGCTGGGCTTGTTTCCCATAGCAAAGCAGGCAGAGAGGGAATGTGTTTGCTTTCTATAAATACAGCATGAGAGGAGACGTCASGAAGGAAGAAGAACTATTTTAACCCTGTTGACACAAAACAAACAGGGCCATGCTAGCGAGGAATAAACTTAGGCTGGAGACTGGGAGAGCGTCTCTTTCAGCAGAGCAGGGCTCGAAGCAAGTCTGCAGGAAYGCAATGTGGTGGCCGAGGGGAGCAGCCAGTCTGGGTTAGGGGGACGTGTGCCAGGCTTGGACCAGGACGGCAYTTGGAAGGTACTTGGACCTTGGACCAGCCCAAGAAGCCTGATCTCCATGGCATCTGTTTGCAGGATCGGGTGATGATCTCAATAATGTGGGAAGAAAGTGATTTTCTAGCATGAGAGGTGTCCCCAGGGCCCTAGGGTTGTTTTATGACAGGATGTGACTGTTTACACCTCAGGCTTACCTTGGCTTACCTCAGGAAGAGCAGGTATTCATAGTGTTCTCTCTAGTATTAGCCGTCACCAGAGGTAGCTCTCTGCAGGGATAAATTACCTGTGATGGTGAAATAGTTTAAAGTGAGGCCTAGTGAAACGTCCCCAAAAGCTTGGTGAAGCAACGTGTCACGGGATTCGTTTGCTTGATTAGAAACCTGTCGTGTCTCATCCCGCTTAGCAAGCTGAAAGCTGAAAGCCTTGCTTCCTTAGCCATCCCATCTACACCTACCACGAGAAGCCAAAGATTTACTAAATGCTATTTTATTTTATTAGCTCTTGTGAGAATCAGTATCTTGTATCAGACTATTAGAAGGATTTTTAAAAGAGAGGTTATTTATAAAGTGCCATGCTCATATTAAAATCAATAGGATCTTGGTGCTTCAGGGCCTTTGTAGGTCTAGACTCCTGACATTTTCCTGTACCTTCAGAAAGAATTCCCCCTGTGAAAGATCTTCTGTTAATTTMAAAATACACTTTGTCACAACGTGAGGGGAGAGAAAGYGAGAAAGAGAGAGAACAGCTCTTGGTTGTGAACCAAGCTGCCATGGACTTCAGGCAGCTTCAATGCAAATGAACTTTTGCTCAGTAGAATAGAGCTGAGTATTCAGAAAAGAACAGGAAATACCTTCCTTGCATACAGATGGCATCGCTATTATTAGCTAACTATTATTGTCTTTTTTCTTTAAAAACATTTTTTCTTTTTTAAGTTTTTTTTTAAGTTTTTTTTTTTTTGTCATCATGAAAAAGACCCCTCTATTTTCAGAAGTTTTAATAAAGCAGCCAAGTCTGTACRTTTCAATTTGATTTCCATGCTAAATACAGCTTGGCAGGGGATGTTATGAAGGGTTTTTGCCCATTCTCACTGTTGTGAAGTTGCATGCAAAGTTTTTGAGGTGAGCAGGCAGTCCGGAACTCAGACCGGGCAATTTGATGAT